CGCCCATGATGGCGCGCGCGCTCTTCAGCACCTGACTGGGCCGACCCAGGGCGCACATCCTCCCAATCCCTTCCCTTTTCACCATTCCCCTCATGGCTGCCTCACGAGTCCTCCGTCCTCATCTCTCCTCCACCCTCCACCCCCCGCATCTTCCCACCCCCCCTCCATCTGATCCCCCGTCCCGTGGCCGTCAACCTCACCCTCCTTGTTCGCCATCAACCCCCCTCGACCTCATTCTCCCCTCGCCCCACCCTGCCTAACCTCAACCTCGGCTCCGCGCGAGCGCCGAACCCCCGTCGCATCGACTGTGGCACTTCGCTTCGACCCACGAGGCGTCATTACGTATCGCTGACCCTCGCCCCCGTCGGCGCCTTCTTGGCCTTGTTGATGTCATCGGACGTCGCCTGCGAGTCCTGCTGCTGGATGATGCTCTGCAACGACGAGATGAACACCTGGCACTAGAAATTGCTACACAGTCTAGACATAATGGGATAGGCGAGAAGCCAGTGTCCACATGATGACATCGCCTGCACATAACATACAATATGTTGGACATTAGATAACTCATGCCCACCGCACGCCCTCTCCAACATCCTCGGCCTGGCGAGATGATGTAACAAGTAAAACCAACCACATAATGACGAGGAGTGCGATATGGAACGCCACCGCCTCTTCATCATCGCCCTCACCATCCTGATAATCCCCCTCGTCGCTCCGTCATCCACCACATTAAAGGTGGGCGCATATCTATAGCTGGATCCTCCAACCTGCGCGATACCGTTTCGAGCCGTTGTCATATCATAGTGCGTTCTATGGTGCAATCTACATTTAGAACAATAGGCTTGGCTGAACCCCCTTGCACGCGATGCTGACGCAAGGCCTCGCTCGTCTGACGGATCATCCTCCTCCTCCTCTTCCTCCTCATCCACGCCCTCTCCATCGCCCTCGTCGCCCCCTCCCCATCATCCTCATCCTCACATAACCATAATTCCATCCTCATCGGCGGCGCTTCGGGCCTCCGTCTGGGCATAGGAAGCCTTCATGTACTTCGTAGTCTTCTCGTAGTCGCTGACATCGAGCCTGGTGACCTTGGAGATTGGCTCGATGGACGTCATGACCTTCCTGATCTGGGCGTCCTTCAGGGGTATTCATAGCGATGACCAAGCCTGTCACCCCCCCCCGAGACGCCCCGAGGACACTGCGCCAGCAGGCGCGGTCACATGTTGGCGCAGCGTCGTCGGGGCGGTTCGGGGAGACGACAGGGCTGCCATGGCAGATTAAGAGGCGAGATCCAGGCGCATCACGCTCTTGGGCGGCGCGGACACGCCGCCCGAGCGCGGCCGCCCGCGCCCAGCAGTCCGACCACGACCGCGGCCCCTCGATGGCGTGGGCGGCGGCTCATCATCATCAATGTCACCATCCTCGCCACCCGAAGACATCTCCAGGCCCATGTTCGACGAGGTCCCTGCAGATGGCTTGTATAAATATGCTCGGCTGGCAATGTGTTCCCTCCGCCGTGCCCTGATCCCGATCGAGGGCCTCATGGGCGAAGCTCCCTTACTGAAATCAACGCCCCTCTAGGTCGAGCTCGATCACGCGAAGATGATGACTCGCACATGCACACGAAGGCCTAAGTCCACGCAGACGCACGCACAAGACGCGCAAAGTAAGTACACGACAGTTGCGCCAAACGCACCCGCACTCACATTCAGGCATATACAAAGTAAAAGTTCCTGCGCGAGCGTCGGTGATCATCTTCTTCTTGGTCATGTCCTGATGCAGCTGCTTGAACTCGTCCCCAGTGATCGCCTTCGAGCCCTCCAGCGTGTCCTCCCTGCGGCGCCTGAACGACTTCGTGTGGGCCTCGTCGTGGTCCAGCCACTGCTTGCGCGTCGGGTTGCGCGGGTTCTTGCGAACCTGGGCTCGCCACGGCGGATGCCTCTCCCACCTCTTGCCTCCTCATCCTCATCCTCCATCCTCCTTCGTCATGCGTTGTCCTTCCTCCCTCCCCCGCGCCTCATCCTCATTATCCTCATCCATCTGATCCTCCTCATCCCCCCCCCGTCCGTCCCCGATGCCCTCCTACCTCCATCCACCCTCTTCCAGTCACCCTCGCCCAACGACGGGGCCGCCATCCCAACGCACGTGAGCTCAGCTCATTCTCAATCGCACGATCATGCGATGGCGAATCTCTATCAACGAAGTGAACGCATGAGCGCGTGCTCGCACTACAGCCTCGGTCATCGTCCTTGCCCTGCCCCCATCCCTCCTCACCGAGCCCCATTTGCCGCCGCTATTCCCTCCCAGGCCTCCTCACCGTGCTCTGTCGTGCTTCGAATGCTTGATCTATCTCAGCACAATCGCTTGCCACCGAAACAGAAACGTGCTTCAACCCTTTACCCTGGACCTTGATGGAGCCGTGCTCCACCATCTCTTCCACTTCGCTCTCCGTGTATTTCTCCATCATTTGTTTCCATGTTTTCCATTGTGATTTGCGAGACAAGTCCTCCGACATACCGAGGCTGATGCAGACCTTCCAGAAGCCGCTCTTCATGTCTGGATCCTCTGCTGGAATATGAGCATTGTTTTCATACACCAGCGTCGGAGCTGGAGGAGCTGGAGGAGCAGCGTTGAGCATCAACGCCGTCGTCGGACACATCAGCGTCGGAGCTGGAGGAGGCAAGGAATGGGGTGGAGTACGCACAATATTCGCATCACTCGCGAGAAGACCCCCAGGCGGGAACAGGCGGGGCGAGTCGACGCGCTTACCTTCCGACTGTGGATCGAGGCAAGCGGAACGAGTCGGCGCGCTGGCCCATCTATGAGGTCCTTGATCCACCCCGCGAGCATTTTGACCTTGGCGTCGTTTTTCCCCACGCGGTGCCCCTTGTTGTCGACGTTGTCGAAGATCTCCTGGGCCTTCTGGTTATCGTTGCGAGCATTCCTGAACTGCCCGTGCAACTTGCGAATCTCCGCGGCGTCGAAGAGCGCGCGAAGCTGCTGCACGTTGCCCCAGTCGCCATCGCTCCTGAGATCATTCGCGTTATGTATACATGCATGTATAAGAATAAATGCATGCATCCTCCTCCACATCCTCCTCGTGCCCATGACGCGTCTGACCTACATTTCTTCAATTCGTCATCCTTCTCATCCTCATCGTCACCAGCATCGTCATCATGTCGCTGCTGCGTGGCTGATTGCTCATCATTATCATTACCGACTTTGGTTACCCTCATCCTCCTCATCCCGTCGTCCCCCTCATACTCATATCATCTGATCCTCACTGCGGAGACACGCGAGCGATTCGGCACGCATCATTCACAATAGTTGCGAAATCGTATCCTGAAGAGCTCGACGCGCTGCTGGAAGTCCAAGCCCTCGGCCTTCGCGAGCAGGTCCGCGATCTTGTTCCTAGCAGGGGATTGCATGAAGCTCGAGGCGATACCTGCTGCGCACGTCTACGACTGGAGCTGTGGACGAGCGCATCTAAGGAAGGTTGGGGCCGCACTTAGCGCCGTCGGTCCCCGACTCACCGTACTGAACGATGGCCGTCGGAGTAGCACCAGCAGGCTTCTTAGCCACCTGGGAACACAGACCCACGGGGGCGATCGGGCAACACACGGGGGGCATAGACAAGTTATATTTAACAAAACACATGTGCTGTTTAATTCGATGGTCGTTTCTGGCAGGGACTGGCGTTAGATCACTGGGAACCTTTATGCCGATGGTAGCCTTGCGCACCCCCCTGGCTGCGCCCCTGGCAACTGCCTTGGTCGCCTTGGCAGCTCCTCTGGCGCGACCAGTCTTAGCCATTGCAGTGGTCTGATGCGCAGAAGTCACGCACGGAGGGATGCGGGCAGCGTAGTCCCCACTCACAGGCAACCTGCCCAAGTATTGGCTTGAGCGGACGCATGCAGCGGCTACGTACACATACACACATGCACACAACCACCATATTATTTATGAAATAGTACCATGGCTACATATATACTGAATCATAATTCAATAAATTGTTTAAACAAAAACACTGGAACAGCTGTAACACATCCTAAACCTGATATATATAAACGTTAGATTCGAACGAAACACCAATACTATATGGTTAATTATACATAGTTTTAACATTAAAAATACCAAAATGTAAAATATGACACTACAATATACCAACACGTTTATTGTTAAATTGCAAACGTTTGCAAACGTTTGCAAACGTTTGCAAACGTTTGTCATTTCGACAAACGTTTGTACAAACGTTTGTCAGTTCGACAAACGTTTGTACAAACGTTTGTCGAAATGACAAACGTTTGCAAACGTTTGCAAACGTTTGCAAACGTTTGCAAACGTTTGGAAATTCGGAATTTATAAAACGTAAAATCATATATCGGTGCGCACATATTTAATCAGTATTAAACACATTCTAACTACAAACAACAACATTTAAACCAAATGATACACCAAACAAAATGAACACCATCCATGCGATAATTCAAAACCTTGTGGTGGTGGTTCCACACTATGTGTCACTGACCGTCCGATTGCAACAGTATGTCGCGTGCACCGACGCATGACCGATGGACAACCTGTGCCCGTACAGCATCGCCACTGTTGCCCGCGGCGTACCGCGTCCACATCATCATCCGATACACCCCCTATCAGTCCTCCCCCTCATCCGATAACTTATCATCTCAAGTATTCATTTATCGTTCCTCACCACCTCCTCATCCACACTCGAAGCACGTCACGAGCGCACCCCCATGACCGATGTATTTGCGGAGGATCGACGAGGACGAATAAGGGGGCAGCAGGATGGGGAGGGGGATGAGGAGGGGGTGAGGAGGGGGACGATGATGAGGACGGGGAATGGGAGGGGGGGGAGAGGATCGAGCGGGCGAGTAAATATGAGAGGTGTCGTCTATGCACGCTCTGATCGCACGTCCCCTCCGTGCGAAATCACACCGAATACACGCCGTGCATGCGCCGAGCCTGTCCGCGAGCTACAATCACTCGGTCGATTCCTCCAACAGCTTGGCGCGCAGCTGCAAGGTTGCAGCCTTGTCGAGTGAAAGCCTGCAGCTCTGCTGAACCAGGTTGATGCACATCGTCGCGTGGTCGGCCGACTGGGTGTCCGAAATGTTCACGAACAGCTGCCTCTTGCCAGTGATCTCGTTCTGGAACTGGTAGTAGGTCGCCTTCGTGCCGAAGGTAGCGTACAGCGTGCCCATGAGGGGGTGGTCCATGCGACGGTGCTCATCCTTCTTCTCCGAGATCATTTCCTGAGAGAGTGGTTACCGCATGTTCCCGAGTACCCGCGTGGCGGCCCACAGCCTATGCGATCAGCACTCGCCCATATGAACGTCCACATCGATTGGAAACAACCCAACATGCATTGACATCACACCCGACGAAATATACGCCCATCGACCAGCAAACAATGCGATCATCAAATGCAAAATACATGCAGCCATACGTGCACCTATTTAACCAACACCAGTATCATATAATATCCGACCCTCACTCTCGCTAGTGGAACTCCTAGCCAACCGTTGGAGGGCGGGGATGGAAATGGGGGGCGGGCTGAGTCCTTCAACAACGACTTCTTCGTGGGGACCACCTCCGCCTCACGCGCCTTCTTGAGGAGGAGCGCCTCCTCGTCAACGTCGATGCCCTTCTTGATGTTCTTGAACTGATTCGCAATGCTGGTGCCCAACTTCTGGTCGATGTGGCCCACGTGCTGGATCCGCTTCTTCTTCTTCTTCTTGCGCCTCTTCGCGGGCGGCTCGATCTCCTGCAACTCGCGGCCCTCGTGCATCCAGGCGCACATCGCCTGGCGCAGTCGGGGCCCAGGCGCGAACGGATGGGGGGGGGGGCGAGACGGTGACCAACGCCACTCCTCCACATCCGTTTCCTTACAATTGACATCGTCGTCCCTTCCCTCACATTGCCCACCATCGCCGCATCGCTCCCTACCCCCGTGCCAATCCTCGCCTTGCCACTCCCTTCCCATATCACCTCCACCACTCCAATGTATTGTTCCTCTTTCCCTGACCATTCGTCACTGTGCCACTCTACCGTTGCTCCCCATCTCCCATCCCCGATGCGTCTGTTTGTTTAGTGGAGCAACCGTTCCCTTTGCAGTCCTTCTATCCCCGCCCCCATTCCGCCCCCTCCCCCCTCGCGTTCTCCAACAGGGAAGACGGGATGTGCGATCCAGATGGGCATAATCTGGAGGTCAACTCACGGGAACTCAGGAAGCATGGCGGACGGGCCCTCGAGTGATGAACGGTGCGACGGCACAGGGGATATACCAATCCATGTATATACATACATGCCCGAATGTCCAGGGTGGGGCGACGGCACGGGGCGACGACGGCACGGTCACAACCATATATGTGATACCCAAATGAGGTGGATATATATATATATATACATATATATATATAAAAATATCACATACATACATACGTACATACATACTGCATCATACTAGACCGTATACGCATGATAATATTGAAAGGGTTTGAAGGGGAGAGGAGAGGTGATATTGATAAGTGTCAGGAGTTGAAGCGGAGGCACGAGAAGGGGAGTCATGCTGAATGGAATGTGAAGGATAATGAGCTGAACTCTGCCGAACTCTGCTGGGGATGAAGAGGAGGAGGAGGGGGATACCCTAGCTGATCACTAACTGGATGCGACCCCTCCAGCAACGAGCGTCATCCCTGAGCGCCAGGGCTTGGTATGGAAATAGCGCGCGATGGCCGCGCGCCGCGTGCTCTCGACGAGAGTCACGAAATTGCCCAGCGTGCCGCGACACGCGCTTGAAATGAACGGAAGTAGGCCACTCACTCCCTCGCGGGATGGAACGTCTTCATCCACTTGGTCATCTCCCTCAGCTCCGCTTCGGGGATGTCGTCCTCCGCTCCGCCGTACGGCTGCGGCGACCTCGTGCGCTTGAAGCGGTCGTTGCCACTCGGCGCGGCGGTGCCCGCCGCGGTGATGCCCGTCTCGGTGGTGGTCGGCTCGGCGCTGACCACCGCGCCGCCAGCGTCGTCGAGGCTGCCTGTGTCATCCCCCGTGTCTGGGACGACGGCGCCTGCGCCATGCACGGGAGACATCTCCACAGCGCTGCCAGACGCGCTGCCCTGCGTGGGGGGCCCACCCCAGCTCCTTCAGGTGCAAAATAACATATTCGATTTCTGCACGCGGGCCCTGACGTGCACCCGCGTGCATAATCGAACAGTTTATTCTGCTCGCGGGTCCTGCAATCGGATCCGCGTCGCTGGCCCCATGTTGTCCCACATATAGGTCAAGGCACTGGTTTTGACCTCCTCGGAAGCCAACGAATAGGTTTAAACATAAAACTGGGAATTTTTAGAATAGTGGGGTGCGAGTTGGAGGGAAGAATACTGCAATTGTGAGGGGGTGAGTGAGTGGACGGGGGGCACGGGGGAGGCCGCAAAGGCGAGTAGGCGGGGGGGGGAGGGCGGTGGGAGTAGGGGGTGGGCAAACCCAGCGCATTTAGACTCTACCCGCGGATCCGATTTGGGCGACGGCGACTTCGTAGAGATCCGACGGCGGGGCTTCGCTGGGGTAACCTGGGGTGGTGGGGGGGGTGGGGGGGCTTGTAAAATGCGGGGCGGGGGAGGATGAGGAGGAGGAGGAGAGGGGAGTGGAGGGAAGGAGGGAGAGGAGGGATGAGGGAAGGCGATGAGGAGACGTTGCGATGAGTAAGGAGGAGGATGCGGAGGGGGAGAAGGGGGATGCATTACAAGCCCCCCACACACGACACCTCGGGGGTCACCGATGGACTGCTATCGACCGCCATGGCGCGCTGAGAAGCGGTCGGGCTCGAAGCTGCACTCGACGAGCTCAGCGCCAGCGGCGCCCTGCGCGGACACGGGGGGCCGCGCGCCAGATCGAAACCGCAACCCCGTCAGGTGGCAACTGCCACTCATCATCTATAGTATCATCATTTCTCCATCATCCTCCCCCTCGCCCAGCCCATCCTCCTATGCCCTCCTCCTCCTATTCCCTCCTCCTCCTCCTCCTCCTATTCACTCATCCTCCTCCTAGTCCCTCATCCTCCTCCTCCTCTGACTGGGCAGTGCTTACACTAGTATGCGGGGAGGAAGGGTGAGGAAGGAGGATGAGGCAGGGGAGGAGGAGGAGGACGAGGAGGAGGAGGAGGAGGAGTGGGATGGGGAGTGGGAGGAGGAGGAGAGGAGGAGGAGGAGGAGGAGGAGAAAAAAAAAGAGGGGGAGGAACGTCGTGGGGGGGTGCGGTTCCACGCTGGCACGCGGCGCCTCGTGGCCAGGTAGTCGTAGATCCTTCCCTGGCCGTTCCTGATCTCAGCGATCTTGTTCACGACGGACTTGATGCACCTGGCGAACTCCCAGGGGATGGTGATGTCATCATCGTCGCCGACGGCTGCTGTCTTGCGCTTGGGCGTCTTCGGCCTGGACCTCTCGAGATCGTAGAACTCGGGGCAGCTGTGGCGGACGAACAGCTCGGACAAGGACGGCGCCCCGAAGGTCTGGAGGTTGGTCTTGGTGGCGAACGTCGTGATGACTTGGCCGAGCATCTTGACGGGCTCGTACTTCCACATGAGCGACCGAACTGGATGGGCCCACGCCTGATGCGCCCCGCGCAACCACAGGATCGTCCCCACGACGGTGAGGCGAATCGCAATCCTGTTCTGCTCCTTGATAACGAGGCCGTCGGAGTCGTCGGCGGCGCTGCCCTCTGGATTCGCGTCCGTCCTGCCGCCGATGTCGCCCTCCATCCACGTGTCAGTGGGCGGGCTGATCCACGCCACCCCATTGGGCCTCACGCGCAACGCCAGGCGAATCAGGTTGTGGTAACCGTCGTTGGTTTCAAGCTGGTAGTCCTTGCCGAAGTTCTGGTCGTAGTTCACCGCGTTCCCGATGTCCATGCACTCGTCCGACAACCGCCCTGAGCCCGTCATCACCTCCAAAAAGTCGATGTCGCGAGAAAAGTCATCTGGCAGCATGAGCGGGAGCACCTGGACCAACCATCTTATGAGCATCCTGAGGAATGGGGCCTGCGTAGTCAAACGCTCCCACTTCTCCTGCACGAAGTGCACCGCGGCGTACCCATCCAAGAGTTCGTCCTGGGTCAGCTCCCCCACCGCGTCGCCGTCAACGGCTCTGGCCTCCTGAGAGGTCCCCGCCGCGCCAGCGGCGCCACTGCCAGCGGCGCTGTCCGCCTGCTGAGCGATCCCCTGCTCGCCACTGCCAGCGGCGCTGCCCGCGGCGAGGGCAGCTGTGATGTCCTCGGGATTGATATCCTCCGCGCTGGCCACCTCATGCGTCGACATCGCACCACAGCTCTAGCCCAGGTGGCACGATCGTGCGGCGGAGTGCTGGAAACCAGCTGGGGCCCAAATGGCTACGCTGTCAAACTGGACGGAGAGGAGGGGGGGAGGAATATCGATGACGCAGGGCAGGAGGGCGAGAGATACGGAGGGGGGGGAGGAGGAGGAGGAGCATGAGGGCAGGAGGACGAGAGCATGGAAGACGAGGGCAGGAGGACGAGAGATAAAGGGGGAGGAGCAGGGGGAGGAGGATGAAAGGGAGGATGCGGGGGAATATGGGGAGGAACACCAAACAGTGTGGTTTAGCAATACATGCGGTGTGCGGTGCAATCTATGTGGTTCAATATATGTGGTGCAAGCTATGCCGTGCAATTTATGTGGTGTAACCTATGTGGTACAGTACACGTTGTGCAATCTACGGGTGAAAACTATGCGATGCAATCTATGTGGTGCCATCTATGTGGTGCAATATATGTTGTGCAAGCTATGTGATGCAATCTAAGTCCGTGCAACCACATGTGCTTGGAGATCTGGAGAGACGCAGGGGCGGAACGCGTGGACAAAATACAGATGGAGTGACGGAGGGGTGGAAGAATCGGAGGGATGGAGAGGGCAGTGTTTCGAGATCGGTTCGCCTCCAGCTCCTCGTCATTGGGCATGTCCTCGTCGGAGTTGGAGCGCAGCCCGTACGCGTCGCCGTCGTGCGCGTCGTCGTCGCTGCTGTTGTCCGTCTCCTGCGGCCCCCCATAGTGTCTCCCGCGCCCGCCCCCGCCCCGAATCATCTGACTGCCTCCTCGGGAGCGTTTCGGGCAGCCGCACTTCCTGCCCAAAACAATCGGCCCGAGCATGCCGAATCCCCACTCACCTCCTCATGTGCCTCCTGTGAGTCCGTCTCCCGTCCCGCCCCTCCCCCTGTCATTCTCCCTCCCACCGCCGCTCCTG